AACCAAGAGATTTCTAGCAAAGAATTTTGTGATGAAAGATCTTGGTGATGCCTCTTTTGTATTGGAAATTCAGATACATCGAGATCATTCTCTAGGTATCCTTGGATTATCACAAAAGAGTTATATCGAAAAGGTACTTAAAAGATATGGCATGCAAGATTGTAAACCATGTGACACCATTGTGGCTAAAGGAGACAAGTTCAGCTTAAGTCAGTGCCCTAAAAATGACTTGGAAATTAAAGAAATGCAGAAGATTCCTTATTCCTCAGCTATAGGGAGTCTGATGTATGCTCAGGTTTGTACACGTCCGGATATAGCGTACATCGTTGGGATGCTAGGGAGATATTTAAGTAACCCGGGAATGGATCATTGGAAAGCAGCCAAACGGGTCATGCGGTATTTACAGAGAACAAAAGACTAGATGCTCACATACAGGAGATCAGATCAGTTGGCGATCATCGGTTTTTCTGATTTCGATTTCGCGGGATGCCAAGATAGTAGGAGATCCACTTCGGGCTATATTTACCTGCTTGCTGGAGGTGCTATTTCTTGGAAGAGTGCTAAGCAGACACTCATAGCTACTTCCACTATGGTAGCGGAGTTTATAGCGTGTTATGAGGCATCAAATCATGGAATATGGCTGCGTAATTTTGTCATTGGGCTGCGTATTGTGGACAATATAGAAAGACCACTTAAGATATTTTGTGACAATAAATTAGCAGTACTGTATTCTAATAACAACAGGAGCTCGACGAAGTCAAAACACATAGAGATCAAGTTCCTTGCTATTAAAGAAAGAGTTTAGAGTGGACAGGTGTCAATAGAGCATATTGGGACAAACTCCATGGTTGCGGATCCGCTTACTAAGGGATTGATACCCAAGGTCTTTCATGAGCACACTGCTCATATGGGTGTAATGTCTCTTGAGGATATCTAGTTTCAGTGGGAGTTTGTATTTTTGCTTTTCATATTGGACACATGTACTGTTATTTTGGATACGATTTAAAGTTAAAGTTATTTTCAGTTATAAAGTTATTTGGTTAATTATCTCTGAACTTATTTAAAATGATCTCACTAAGGTATTAAGGTGGACCAGTTGGAAATAGGCATGTTACAGATCACATTACATATAATTTTCATGCTACACATCCATGCTTGATCCATGTCATTCGGTTATATTGATATACGTGACCATTGATGGGTTTAGCTACGTGAAAGTAGCGAAAGCCGCTTTGATCCTATGTTGATATGATTGATGGACGGGATTGTTTGGGGATACATTCGGTAATGATATCAAAATTCTGAGTACTCATAAGGTTATGTTTAATGCACAATTATAAGGTGACACATATAGCCCAAGTGGGAGATTGTAAGGATTTTTAATTAAAGATGGGCTTGTATGTGTAAATAATTGTGTGTTAAATTATAGGCTATCAAATTCGGTTGAGCCCAATTAAAGTGATCTAATAAGGCTTCGATTTTGGGTTTTAATGTATCCAGTTAAAGTATGGGTTTACATATGTGTAGAGACCGGGCCCAAGTCCTAATTCTATGATGGGCCGAATTAGGCTAAAGGGCATCCCTATATAAATAGGTTATGGTCCCCAGATCACACGTACGTATTATTCATTCTCTACTATATCCCATCACAGAGAGGAAAAGGAGACTGCGTGTAGATTTGGAAAACCATACCGCGAAATTCATATTGCATTAACCATGTTTGATTCAGGTAAGCTTCCGCTTTAATTCTTGTATTTCTTGATGATTTAACATGAAAGATCCGGTAATTTAAAGCACTAAATTATCCAACACAAGGGCCTCAGCATTTTTAGCAGCAAAAGGTTCTGATGTAGGCTGGAGAGATAAATTAACGGTAACTAAGAAGAAACTAAAAATATCCATCAATTTTTTATAGGAGTACTGGATACTTGACAGTCAAGACTCGTTCATTCGTGCACGAATTCCAAGAATTAATTCTTAGTCAACAAACCATTGATTCTTATGTAGAAATACTCATTTAGATCGAAAGACTGAGAAAATTCCGAAGTCCTAATTTTTATTCAATATTCAACCAAAAAAAAACTGTTTGGTGGAAATTAAAATCAAGATTTTAGTCTAAGTCAAAGTTGACAATTAATTTCAATGCCATATTTAACGGGACCCATAACATTCGGTCACATATTTTATCAACTTTTATCAGAATCAACTAAAAATTTAGTTTTAATTTTCACCAAACAAAGGCTTAATGTCTTAGAACATCTCCAATAGAACTTCATTTTTAAAGAATATAAAAAATTTAGAGAGCTTCAATAAATTTAGATAGTAAAAAATTTTAAGTACTCTAACAAACTCTTTGTATTTGACACTTAATTTTATTGCTGATTGAAAAATATTTTAGCAACTTTCTAGGCTTCATTAATTTCAAAATACATTTTTCTCTTTTTTTTATCAACCACACACTCTCTAATAAAATATATTATATGTAAACCCAATTTTTTTTTTCATTTTCATGATGGGTGACAACTAGAGGATGCAATATTTTCTCAATCACTCTTCATGAGCAATAGAGAGAATCAATGTTGGCACATTTGTAGTTTGTCTCTACACTTTCAAGGGTTTACAAGTCACGTGAAATAGAATTCTTAATTGTAGGAAAAATACAAATGGTTCTGGCCCTCGTCCAGATAAACTCTAAATAGCTAGGCTCATAATTTTATTGAGGATATGTAAAACAATCTTACTACATGTATATCTTTACTTGCAGAATTTACATTTGGCAAGTTATCACACCATCTTTCACATCTTTAATCCAGCCATTAACAAATTGCCCCATAGCTAATATGGTAAGAGATATGTAAGGCAGAATGTACAAATAGCTTAATCTTACGTTAAAAAAAATGGATGAGAAAAGTTACCATATGACAAATTATTTTACTGAAATAGGAAAGGCAAAAAAAGTAGTTACCTCGAAATCAATGCATGCCACATGTGGAATAATTTGCATGCAATTGTTGTACGTGGAAGCAAGATTTAGCCACCTCAAACACAATTTCAACACGTAAAATACCATGCAAGCCTATGAACTCACTATAAATAGTAATACCCTTCACCACCATTCCTCCACCAGAGATCGAATTTACAATGGTGAAGAAAATTACAAGTGTAGGTGCTATCCTCCTCTTGGCTCTCATGGCCTTGGACGAAGCCTTAGCCACCACCATGACAACCACCGTAACCACCACCACAATCGACGAAGAGGAGAATCAACAATGCCAGAGAGAGATTCAGACACGCAGCTTCCCAAATTGCGAGACGTACCTGAAGCTCGAATTTGATAGAGCTGATGCCACAATAATGTTGCCCTATTCCAAAAAACATTATAAAAGACGTTGCTGTAGAAATGAGCTGAGTGGCATCGATAAGCAGTGTGTGTGCTTTGCTGTGAGGACTATGATGAAGAACATGATGGACAGTGGTCGCCTCAGCGCTGAGGATATGGAGGCTATGCTCGAGCTGGCTGGAGATCTTCCTACCGTGTGCAACTTACGAAAATACCCATGCTGAATATTCAGGCCATTACTCGGTGGTTCATCAATGTAGAAATATGCACACCATCATGTACCGTGTATATTGCCTTGGAATAAAATCTCAGTCTGTCTTTTTCTAAGTTGCCTATCTATTTTTCCAACCCATAATCAATGGAGTTAACTAACTTATATGCATTGAACTAGGGCGAAGCCAGACTTTTTGTATTGTAGGGGCAAAAATTAAAATGCAATTTTTCTTTAAAACAACATAACATTAATGGAAGATCGAATTTCTACAAAATGGAATAAAATCACATTAATGCTGTCAAAACTAATTTCCTCGTTTACTGTAGAAAACAAAAGCAAAACAAAATGTAATAAGATCACAAACACAAGTTGGTTCACCTTCACCATTTCTAAAGAAAAATTAAAGATAAACATATGGACAAAGAAAAGTTGCTCACGAAAACTCTTGAAAAATATAAACAACAAGGCCGGATTTGGGGATGGCAATTGAGAGTCTCTCAAACACTACTGAAGCTACGATCTTATCATTGTGTTGACACACAAAAAGTTCAGCCCAAATCGAATAGCCCAAGGAATGAAGCTCAATTGGAAGATCCCCAAAATCAAATAGCCCAAAAGAACGATCCAATCAGGCAATGTAGGATAAAGGCCCAAATAGGGAAGCCCATGAATGCGGTAATACCATCGCCCAAGGTTGCAAGTCGCCCAAGATTTGAGTGAATGAATTGCCATGCAGTTGCTCAGAGCTGTGACCCTACTCTCATCCAAACATTCAAGTCGCCCAGCGTCTTAGCAAATATAAGATGTTATGGTTACCCAAAAGTGCAGTTAATAAAGAAGTTATTGGGTAATCCTATCACGTTCCACGGTTCAAGGAATTCAATTAAAGATGGTTGAACGACAAAAGTAATGGCAGCAGTTAGAGAAGGCAGTTTCATGACAAGTTGGCCACTATAAGGAAAGTGGGCAGTTATAGAGCGATCAAGTAGTTTTTAAGTGATTGATCACGAAGAGATCATCCATGGAGTATAAAAGGAAGAAAAGACATAGAGCAAAAGACCCTGAATCAAACACTCTCAAACAGAGAATATGTAGCTTTAAATTTCTTAATTTAGATTTAAACACTTCTTTTTCAGTAACTCGTGTGCTTGGGCCCCTTGGAGGCATTCTGTTTTTATTTTCCAATTGTAAAGTCATCGCCAATAAAAACGCCCCTTTTGGGACTTTGTCTCAAGAGGTTTGTCCCTTACACAATCGTCTGATCCCTTTTTAATTGTTAGCAACTAACCCGCGTGAATCACATTGCTATTCTTCAATGTGGAAGTATCATTGCTATTCTTCGATGTGGAAGTATCATTATATATTGCTATTCTTCGACGTGGAAGTACAAAACCCTACTCTGTTACCAAAGACTAAACTAGCCTCGCATACGACGTTGTTCTTCGCATTTTCTACTACCTAACTATCAAAATAGAGAGAGAGTTCAGATTCATCATAAATTATAATACAGTTGTATGTGGAAGAGGATTTGTTAAACCCTAAAGAAGCGTGGAAACAAAAAAGAGAAAAAGAGAGTGAAACAAGAGAGGGTACTTGCAGCTAGTAATGACAATTGAATAAGTCGGGATTTATGTTAGCTATAGACTGAATAGGAATGAAAAAGCCGGTCTTAGTTGCCCCTATCTTCAATAATTATTGTCACTAAAACTTATGAAGTTTTAACTTGTGCATTTTCATGAAGATTGGTAAAAAAAATGATGAGTTATTAATACATAATTCCAACTTTGACGACTAGAGTCATTTGCCAATAGAAATACAAGAAAATAGTGAAATAAATACTTTAATATAATCAATATTTTACCTAATGTGAAACAATAGAAATAGAAAAATGTAAAATGTTACTTATGATCTTCTTTTTTTCTTTTTCTTTTTTCTTTTTTTAATGAATTGGGGGTTGAATATTGTATGTTGTTTTACATTTGACTGAATTGTGTTGAATAATTCCTCTCTCATAATTTAATGTGCTAAATTTGTCATTAAAGTATTCAACATTGATTATAGTAACTATTTAATTGTTATTTAGGCACTAAATTTCAACAAATGAATTCTAAACATACACGTCTAGTCATATATTGTTGATAACCATTTTGGCTCTGGTAACCTATAATGGATCTCAAAGAGTATGAAAGATCTTTCACTAAAATGTCTATAAAAAATGGGGAAATTAAATCATTTCATAAAGCTTCTCGAATTCGAGTAAAATGTTCATATCACGGTTTCAATTATAGAGTTCAATACCGCTCTTTGTTAATAAAATGACATGTTATTACTTCTTTACACGATCTAAATTGTCTATAATTAAACAAGAAAAGAATTTGAATTTAGATAATCACTAACTATATTTGTTCTAATTTTATTGATCTTTTTGAATAAAGGAATGCTTGGACTAAAATTTGATTCTTAAGACATAGTATAAACCTTAATTTATAACATATTTTCCTTTTAAGTAGCGGCATCAAAATTGGTAGTATATGACCATGGTATCCAAACAAAGGTACAATTCCACGAGCTCTTCGCCTTTGCCTTTTAAGATAATTTTTGTAGAGGATAAAGAATATGAAGTTAATGCCAATGCTAATGCCAGACACCATATAGGTACTTATTCGTGGGAAATAAATAACCATGAGAGTTTTATGCATAAAGTGTTCTAAGTAAAGAAGGGGGTAGTTCAAAAAAATTTAAAACTGGACTAGGACAAAAGAAATCTGTTGAAGTACAGGTTACAGCCCCATTCCAACTAGTGCGGGCTTGGGTTTGGGAGAGATTCCAACATATATGTCCCAAGCCCAATTGAATTAAGCTTGGTGGATCAAGATTGCCTCAATGGAATTCTCCTCCTCCACCTGGTTTTCCTCCCAAGCATGCTAGGGTGGAGTTGAACTGATTAAAGGTGACAGCTGCTATGAAAAATCTCTCTCCCTCAAGGTGAACTTTGCGAAATATATTTTAAAATTCATTTTTAGCGTTCTGTAATGTTTAATATTTGGATTGCAAATCCAGTTGTCAATCATTTATGCAGTTCCCATTGATGTGTTCTCTGTTTGGACATCCAGTTGTACATTTCAGTGTTAATTTGATTTCACATTATTTGCCATCACCTAGCAGTAACAAGATACTTCCTGCCTCTGCATATATTTTTTCTATTATGACACATAACAAATTAGATTCTCTATATGTTTTGAAGCCCTGCATCATTCATGAGACTGGCGTGCCCAATTAGAAATTTCATTTAAAGTTATTGCATTGAACAACATAAAACTACGGGTTAAGGCATTAAGCTATTCCGATATCAGAATGCTAGAGAGATCTTTCAGGTTCCTTCAAATTTAGAAGTGTAGTTTTAATTAAATGATAATAATTGGAACTTAAGGTCTACTGAAATGAGTTAAACTAAATAGCTTACATAGATTTCCGTAAACATTTTCATAATCGAAATTTTATATTAAAGGACATGAAGACCGTGTCTATTATTCTCTCTCTTGTGATTTGGCTTCCTCATCTCTCTTGCAAAAGAGTCATGGAAGAAGTTAACTAAGTTATTACAATTATACTACAATGCCAGAATTATTAACATAATAGTTGACATATCTTCACATCTCTATTATTGGACTGTTTAAAACACAATTATCTTTTCCAAAATTATTTTCTGTTACACATGAATCTGTCACCATTCATTTGGCAAAGAGCATAATTTATGTTATTATCACACAGGCCGTATTATCAGTAGTACACAAAACAAAGCACACAAAAAAAGCAAGCTAAAAGGCATTGATTTAATAGTTCGTGTGTAGCAGGATTGAAATTGAGCACAACCCCTTTCTGGCTTGCTGCTTATCCATTTTGTCTTCCCAATGCCGTTGGCTAGAGGCATCATCTTATCACTTGCATTCGTTGTTCATGCTGGAAATCAGGATCCCTTTGTTAATTCATTTACGAATAAAGTTTCACACAAAATCATGCGTACCTATATACATACCATGATTTGATTCATTACTAAATCGGGTTCAAATTTTCAAAAATATTCTAATGACGAGGCAAAGCTAATTCTAGACATGGGAAGCCATGATTTTCTTGACGACCTGAAGTAATTAAAGAAGGTAGAAATTAAAATGATTTGATCATGACACTCCATAGCAGCCCATTGATCGTGAATTACAAGGAAAAGGTAGATTCGGTGTAGTGGTCGCCGATTTAAATGAATATAGGGTCTACAAGTTTGTTTGCCTAGATGCAGGCTACACAGAGTAGAATCTTTTGAATTCTTTGACTTAGAATATTAGCACAAGGTCCCTATAAAATAGCACGTAAAATACGTACATAACATAATTTTCTAGTGAAATGGAAACCTGATCGAGTCATTCTCACTGAGGTCATATCCATTCTCAATCTCGATTTAGGGCATTTAGCCATATGGCTGGTTTTTGTATGGATCTACATAATACCCTATATCATTATCCACAAGATCCTTATTTAATTTGGATCACATAATAGCACATAAAATACTTAACTTCAAAAATTAAAAAGTAAAAACATAAAATCACTTGGCATTTAAAAAAATCAATACCATATTCGTTAATTTCTTGTGTATTGAGCTAATTATGACTGAAAATTCTTGCGAACAGATCTTGAACATACCAATTTTTTTTTCTTTTCCTTCCCTTTCATTCTTTTCAAGCTCTTTCTTCCCTTTCTTTTTTTCCTCTCTCTCTATTCTTTATCTCTGAATTTGTGTGAATTAAAACACAACAACAAGAGGGTATTTATAGGTGTGATTAGATAAGAATAGTTAACGAGTTAGAATTTTAATAGGACTTTTAATTAAGATTTAGATTGATCTTTCGACAAATAAGCTCATCATGAAATTCGAATTTAAGAAAATTCTAACTACATGGGGATAAAATTCGAGTGTGGATATATGCAAATTTCAAGTTTTACGTACATACTTTTATATCAGATGATTCAATAATAGTTTAATAGATATCCAAAATATTATATTGTAATTTCATTCAAAAAGAGATTCCAATTATTAGACTATTAGCACAGTGACATCTAA